TTTAAGGAAAACTCATTATCCTGTACTCAAAAGAAGAATCTATTTTCGTTTTATGCAATAAAATTTGCATAATCTTGCACACAGCTCAAGAATATTATAAAACTTTATCGATGTAAAAGTTGATTCGACTCTACATAGTAAGCAAACCGAATTTTTATTTTACTCTAATATTCTTGATTGAAATGCTAAACTTACTAGAGAAGTTGAGAAGTTGTATTGTATTTTGTATAAATTGAATGCGCATGATGAACTTTGATGATAGATGTGCGGATATATAAACGTATGAAATACTTGAAACAAGTAACAAAGTTTATTTGAATACAGAGAACATTTTTCTTTGTGCAAGGTTTATTGCATAAAAAATTATTCTATAAACAGGTTGATGATTACTTGCACACATAATTACATTATGATATAAGCAATCTGCTGAATTATGAAAGAGAAAAGAAAAAAATATATTGGATGAAGTATACTGGGAATCGAATCTGAGCGATTGCTCTGCTAACTAAGCTACCTAAAACCTATATCGCTTCGATACATCTCTTCCTTTCTCTCTCTCTCCTCTTCTTATTAATGACTTTAATTGTCAAGAAAGTAATTCCTACACACTTGATTTATGCTATTAATAATATTTAATTTTTTCTTATTTTTGGAGATTTACTGAATCAATTAAGAAGCTGTATCCCATACAGCACAAATATTCAGAGAATGTCCAAGATACATCGCAGAGACGCCCCAGGGATGTGTGATATCTATGGGACGTCTAGGACAACGTTAATTTAAGTTTGCAGAATAATTACGCAAATTTTATTGCATAAAACGAAAACAAGTTCTTCTTTTAAATACAGGATAATGAGTTTTCCTTAAATCTGTGATGCGTGTATTTTAAGACTATTATCAAGAAAATATTTTTTGTCATTAATCATATTTCTTGTCTTTAATCATCATTTAGAAGAAAAAAGTAAATTGAGTAATCGAGTAAATTTCTTTCTGCAATCGAGTGAAATTAAATGGAAATTGATATGGATCAGCAATATCATGTAGGAATTCAAAGCTCGATCTAATCGCATTGTACTAATAATTCCAGGAACTTTCCTCCTCTGGTAGATGTGAATCAGAACAGATATGAATCAGATTCAGAAATCAGACGACAGATTACAACAGATACAACAGATTACGCGTTGAGATAATACTTTTATGATTGACTCATTAAAGTAAATATTGAGTAGTAAACTCAAGCTCAAGAGAACACCAGAATGTGTTCTGGAAGAATCAGGAAAGTCAGTTCGTCGCGCGCATCAAGACGCGAAATAAAATTTATTTAACTCGATTCGTGACATTTTCGTGATTCGCATGGATCTTCTTTCTATAATGCATGCGGCTCAGATATAGGTACTGGCTTTTATAGGTCAGTCAGGTGATTGACTCGGTCAAGTGTTATCCAAGGCAGCGGGGCATTACTCTGACGTTACGGCTGAACCCTTAAGCCGATTTCACGTCGGGTTTCTTCGCTCTAATACTCCGGGCGTGCACGTGACTGAATACACACGATCGGTTATTGACGGGCAATTGATAGTCCTGGTATCGGAGGTATCGAAGCATGCGATCGACGAGGATTGCGCACATCTTCGCGATGAAACGCCTGGCAGTCTCTACCTATGTCGAGTTAATGGCCACCTTGCGAAATCGCGAAGACAATGCTTTCGCGGAAATTGCAATAAAATCTCCGTGGCAGAGGGTATCGATCTGTGAAATGGCCGGGGACCAGTGTCCGTCGTCGTGGTCGACCGGCGCGAAACGATCGCTGTCGATCGAATTTGCTTTCCTACGATCGCGAACGGAACAACGAATACTCTCTGCACATAGCATTTCGCCGTAGGCTCGACCAGGATTTCGCGGAACGTCACGTTAGAATGGTTTTCTTCATAGGATAATAATTTATTATAACCGAGGTAGTCGCTTTTAACCGAAGTAAACGTCAAGTTTCACTACTTTCGCTTTGAATGTTAACGTCTGCGAAATTACGTATTATTCTATGCGGCGTACTTGTTCTCTCTTGATGAAATTTCGCAAAAAAACGCTCTCTCTTTCTCTCTCTCATTTTTTCAATCAAGATTATTACCTTATATGCATGTTACAATTGCCATTTTCGTGTTAGAACAATTCAAAATATACTTGGGCCAAAAATAATTATAGTTTTAATTAGATCTATTTTTTTCTCAATGTGCAAATTATAAACTTTTTACTGTTATATTTTAGAAACAAAATAGTCAATAATTCTGAAATTTGTGCACGCTATCTGTATATCAGTTTTAATATTAAAGTATTTATAATATTAAAGTATTTATGATCAAAATCTCACACATGTAGAGAGAGAAGTTCAGAAGATATTAAAAATACAAATGAAAAGTATTATACGCTAGTCTCAAGAAATACGTATAAAAAGTATCAACTTTAGTTTAGTCGCAAATATCTCGGTCAATCTTTCTCAAATCGCACGAGCAATTAGACAATATTTCATTGTATAATGTAGCGCAAATTTCATTAAATTTTCATGAAACTCGTTTTATGGTATAACTACTTAATACTACACTTATGGAAAATTCTCCTCAGTACGCATATATCTATCCATCTCCATCTCTCTTTCTCTATTTATCTCCAAGAAAAAGTCATCACCACATTTTTTTACAGTTAACCAATTCAGCTTGACAAACTAAGACTTGCTAAAGGATCAGTGAGGCGAAAAATCGCCGCATTAAACGCGAAGTCACTTCAGACGCGTGTCCGGCAATCTCATGTTTCTTAACGCGATAAACGAGTGTTTGCGGTCGCGCGCATTGTTTTTAGAGCGCCGAGCGATCTATTACCATGAGCGTCAACTTTTGCGTGTAAACCGTTGCTACGGTACACGTATTTACTCACAATCTCGCGGGCTCCCCCGTAATGATCGTTGTAATTACATGCGCGGACTGCCGCGCACGTGCGGACGATTAATAGACGCATCTTTGACAATTCCCATTATTTTGCTCGGCACGGTCGTAATTAATGCGTGCATAAATTTTGCACGACGAGAAAGTTGCTCAACAAGAATAACGCGCGAGTGTATTATTGGTGCAACCGCTCGCTCACTTGTCCGTTGCTCAAGCGAACGACCATACGTGTTGAACGCGTAAGAATTGTATCTGTCATATTCCAAGTTATCTCAGGCTCCATTATCCAGCAGTCTGATTGTCCTGATCGTCTGTCGACGATCTGTAGTATCTGTAATTAACTTCACCGATCGGAATTTCGATAGAAAATACAGTTCAATGTCGGTTTTATGTTTAATTAAGGCACGTTCTTGTCGGTCACGCTACGAATTCAATTTGCATAGTGAAATTAAGCGCGTCGAAAATTAGCGAGGCAAGAGTTGGAAGCACTCCAAGAGAAATCCTTTCGCCGATATGCTCGAACGAACATCGAGTAAAGTCAGTTCCTGCAAGATAATCGAGAGAGTATGCGAATGGCATATTTGACATTGTCGTTGAAAGACAACAGAATGTCAAGTAGTGAAATAATCATAAATAATTTCTTAATAATATTTTTTTTCGAGCAAAATCTTTGTTCTCCGCTTAAAAAAGAAATAGAAAGGAGAGATACAGAGAAAAGAGGAAGGAATTCACGAGGAAGAAGAACGTAGTTCTCGGTGGCTTCACGATTTCTTTTTGCGGCTTATACTGGCGACAAAAAGCCGCAGCTGGCTTCGATCCTCGCATGGCTTCTCTCAATGGAGTAGGACTTCTGTCGTTAAAGTCGGCATTATTTTAGATGCACGTCCTCGTTACGAGGAAAGTGAGAATCATTAGTGTTAAAGCGCATCATTAGGTTGAAAAACGCGCGATGAAAATACAGTTGAATCCCGCGATATTTATCTCGCCGAAATGTAAATTCATTTCCATAGACTTCGAGAACAATCGTGCGCGATTCACACGGTACAGTTGGTAACGGAAAGGCAATTTGATCTCTGTAAAAGACGTCTAAGAGTAATAATTGCAAGATATTTCATTACAGTGGCAGTACATTGAAAAAAAAATTTATTAAATTTCAAAAAGCTTGTTTGGATAGTACTGTGCAGATATTTGTTTAAATTAAATAATTATTTTCTAAAATTAAAGAAACAAATTTATATTTAAAACTCCTTTATTTAATTTTAGAAAATAATTGTTTAATTTAAACAAATATCTTCTACAGTACTATCCAAACAAACGTTTTTTGAAATTTAGTAAATTTTTTTTTCAGTGTACTACTTAAAAAAATGATCAACGATATTATATCCCATGACCTCATTATGCCTAAGATTCCCCTACTTAATAAACGTAAAAAATAATCCTCAGCTTTAAAAGCGATTTTGGGTTTTGATGATAACCTGATGTTCGTTTATATTATTACATGTGTCGCGTTAAAACAAAAGATTGTTTCATAACTGTGTAACTGCGTGACACTGAACAGATGTGTAATTATAAATCGCAAAAACAAACATAGTTTATTAAGAATCGTATGTACACGTTCCGTCGAAATAGCTTTAATATTCTTTCCACTAGCCTCGAATCGAAAAATGTTAAAGCTATTTCGACAGAGTATGTACAATAGAAATGGAAAAGGGTCGAACATATTTTGTAAACACAATGATAAGAATGTTATAAGAATGTTATAATCTTCTGTTTTCAAAGCGCATGTGTATGTGTGTGTATCTAATAATATAAACAAGCACATCATATATATATCATCAAAGTCGCTTCTAATTCTGAAAGAATTGATTTTTCGATTTATATTCACTATTTCTTACTGAGTTTAGTGAACACTATCTATCCCCATTATAAATTTTGAATCCTTTTTTAACACCCTGTATGTATGTAGTATAGTCTATATCTATATTTTAGAGAGTTTATATATTTATATAAACTATAGTTTATATTTTATAGATATTATATATTAATTCGAGAACTATTTATTATACGCAGAAATGACCGGAGACGGGACCAATATGGCGTACCACGGCCTGAGCCAACATGTTAACTTCGACATGATACCGGATCCAGGCGGGCGTTTTCAATTGGAGGAACTTATTGGCGAAGGTACATACGGTGAAGTGTACGCCGCTTACGACAAAGAAACTAATACCAAAGTGGCCATCAAAATATTGGAGAATGTCGCAGACAACATTGAAGAGATCGAGGAGGAATACTTAGTACTGAGAGATCTGAGCATGCACCCTAACATTCCTCTCTTCTACGGCTTGTTTCTGAAACGTGCAAAGCCCGGTCAAGAAGAGGATCAACTATGGTTCGTGATGGAGGTATTGTCGAACAATTTTTTCTTGCGGTAAAGCAAATTCAGACGGGTAGGACGAACGGAAAAATGCGCGCAAATATTAGGTGGTTACAAAAATTCATAGAATATTAAAGTGATTTTTATTTATTAATAACAATTAAATGATATATAATATTTCAATCAAATATTGGCCATCGCAATCAATAACTTTTTACCATATTTCGGGCAATATTGTGTCGATAAAATGACTCATCTTTTGAAGCAATCCATTCATCAACCTATTTCTGTACTTCCGTAGCATTTTGGAACCGTATATCAGATAGACAGTGTTGCATCGACCTGAATAAATGAAAATCAGATGGAGCGATGTTTGTAAAGTACGATAGGTGTGGCACGACTTTCCAACCTAACTTGAACAACATCTTTTTAGTCGTAACAGTAACATACGGCCTGACGTTATCGTGAAACAGAATGACTTTGCGTCAATTCGCAGCCATTTGAGAGTGTTTTTCCATTATATTGGATTCGAACGCCATAACTATTGACTGTAGCGATCTCCTATGATTGTTTGCTCTGGTAATAATATCTTATAATAAAGCACTCCTTGGTGCCACTAGATAGATAGGAGAATCTTATAATCGTGCACATTACGTTTTGTTGTGCATTGTAAAAAAGTATGCAAATTTACATAAATAATAAGTGTATAATTACGCAACAAATAGCGAAAATTTGTTAATTTTTTGTAAATTTCTACTTATTAATTATGCATTTTACAATTATTATTTATATAATATAATTTACTACACTATAATTAATACACTATAATTTTTTTACAATATGGATGTCGATAATTGGCCGAGTTCAACCAATAACTTTTTAGAATTGTCAAAATTGATCCACTTTTTATCACTCGTAACTATTCGCCACAAAAGCTCTTTTTATATCTGGCAAACATTGAGAGACAGATAACAAGTAATGAGAGTCGACTTGCAATTTGCAATTAATTTGCAGAGAGTTCATAGGGAAACCATCTTCCTTCCTTTTGGATCTTTCCCATTGTTTTTAGATGACGGAATATTGTTGATTCGTCAACTTCAAGCTGCCCTGCAAGCTTCTTTAATATTTGGACTGAGTTTTCGTTGAGCAATGCTTCCAATTTGTTATTTTCCATTTTGTTTGGATGATTAGAATGTGACTTGTTGACATCGTAATTATCGTTCCTAAACCTTTTAAAATACTTCTCACAGATAGCAGCGAACACAATATTACTTATTACAGTGCTAAATTTCTAACTGAATCACCAGTTATAAGTATAGTATTTCAGTGAAGAATGTAGTGATTGTACTTTAGAGAGTAGGTTCATGTTAATATGTGTATTTATGTACCACCGGTAACACTAATACAACTTCCGTAAACTTGAGAAATTCACGTACCATATTGTTAATGATAAAATATGCTTTCTCTCTAAACTTTGAAATATATTTCTGAAGATTGAACAGTATTATTATGAGCATTTTCTTACACGCTAACAATTTGAATTTTTTTCTAGCAATCGCTTAACTTTTGTATAAAATACATATTGTTTTGCGAAGACAGCTCCAGATATCATATTTCAAAAATGTTTTTCGTTATTTTTAGTTTAAAGTCTTTATTTGCGTGGAACGTTAAAATGTGTACTTTAATCATTCAAAAGGTTTTATAAATCAGTACGGCTAGAACGACAAATTATTACACACATTTTTAAGTCGTTTAGCGACATTCCGACATCTCTTTAAAATTCGTTTGAGATAACTGAGAACAATTGACTGAGTAAAAATCTCCTACAGGAATCTTTCCTTTTTTATAAAAGAATTTTCACTTGATCCCCTGCAAGCCTATTCTCTGTAACTTTTAACGAAAATTATTTAATTATTTTTATTACTTTGCTCAACTTTTTTCTACCGTTTTATACTTATACAATTATATCCACACAACAACAATGCAACGATAAGGAGATTGTCGTTAACAGTTATAAAATAAGCATACGAATAACAGAAAATTCAGTTACACTAATTCGAATTTTTTTTCCGTGTAGCAGGCGTGTAATTCCTGTAGATTAATTTCTCAGTCTTCCAGAGAGGGAATCAAGTCAACGTATCTAAAAAGTTTCTTGCTCTGATTCCAGTTGTGCACCGGAGGCTCGGTGACCGATCTCGTACAGGGTCTTAAGAAACGCTGTAGCCGCTTAAAGGACGACCAGATAGCTTATATCTTGAAGGAGACTGTCGAGGCGCTCATCTTCCTGCACAGTAATCACTGTATGCACCGCGATGTGAAGGGTCACAACATCCTGCTCACCGAAGAAGCGCGCGTCAAATTAGTCGATTTCGGTGTATCGTCGCATTTGGCCGCGACACTTGCCAGAAAAAACACGTCCGTTGGAACGCCGTATTGGATGGCGCCGGAGGTAAATTTAGCTCGAGCTTTATCATCCTCACGACGAAATCGTAATTCGATCAAAAAATAAAATAATTAGAAAACTTATAACTTATAACTTATAACTTATAATTAGAAAACTTATAACTTATAACTTACAATATGAAATACAAGAAGTTATTTGTGTGAAAAAAAAATAATAAAGGAATAAGTACTAAATATCAAGTTGGTTTTTAATAATAACAATGATTAAACATGTTTCAATTCTATTTAATAAAAATAAGAAATTGAACTGAAACACTTATAATTGAACATTTACACTTATAATTATAATTACAATTATAGTTAAGGAAATGTCGAAGTTGATAACAAACTCTAAAAATGCCGATAATATGATTATGATTATCAAATAAGCATTGATATGATCACGCTATCCTTTTCGTATTTTTTGCACATATAGATCTTATTACAGTTAACTCATTAAACTGAACACAAAATTTCATTGATATTTTGCAAACTTTGTAAAATTTTAAGTTATTAATTAAATATCGTTGTGTACAGATAACTTTCTGATTCGCGTCTATAATAGGATTTATCTTTTAACCCAAGAAACTGTCAGCTCTCCGACGTATGCTTTTACAAGCCATTGATATTAAACTATTTCACTTCTCACGACTGAAAACATGAATCGCACTTTTTGTTTATACCAAAAAACCAGGTGATAGCTTGCGAGCAGCAACTGGACTCATCGTACGACTCACGTTGCGACGTCTGGTCAATCGGCATCACCGCCATTGAACTAGCCGAGGGTGACCCACCCTTGTCAGAGTTGCACCCCATGCGTGCGCTCTTTCAAATCCCTCGCAATCCGCCACCTTCGTTGAAGGCTCCGGACATGTACTTGCCAGAACTAACGGACTTCATAGCCGAGTGTTTGGTAAAGGATCTTGAACATCGGCCGTTTGCAAGCGAATTGAGAGAGCACCCTTTGTTGATGAACGTGGAGCCGAAAGTGGAGAGAATCAGGCAACAGCTAAGAGAAGAGATTCGCAGGCAGAGAGCCGAGGGTCGCGTTCACCGGCAACCTGAGGTGACCACTAAGCACGGTAAATTGAAAACAGACCGCAAAACTAGGCCCGAGAAGATGTACATGGACGATCTAGCGGCGTTAGACATGCTGTCGGAAGAGGCGATCGTCGAACAATTGCAGCACCGATACGAGCAAGCGCAAATCTACACGTACATCGGCGACATACTGGTTGCCGTTAATCCCTTCACCAATCTCGGCCTGTACACCGGCATTGTGAGTGTATCTTTACAGTATAAAAAGAGATAAGTTGACTCAAATCGAGTTGAATGAACTTGATTTCGAGTGTAGTATATACATACGTAGTTTTACGAGTGTAATATATAATATACAAAGTTATATATTTATAAATATATAATATTTATAATATTTAAATATAAGGTTAGGTTAATATATAAGTATATATAAGTTTATATATACTTATATATAAACTTTATATATATATATATATATATATATATATATATATATATATATCAGTTAATATTATATTTTCCTATTACGAAATCCATCAAAACTTTTATATATATATATATATATATAAATTTTGATGGATTTCGTAATAGGAAAATATAATATTAACTGTTAATTTTTTCAGTATTTTCCTATTCTCTTAATCTTTCGCTTGTGTGAAATAAGCTTTTAAAAAAATTTAGTTCAATCATCAAAGCTGGTCCAACGCATTATTGGTCATATTTGTCATTCGAGATACTTAATCTTCTAACTAGACATAGAGAATTACTTATATCATACAGTTTAATCAATCTTTTAATAGTTGAAAAGACAATTATGTTATTTATACAACATATTACATACAAAACTACGTTTTAATTTCTTTAAAAATTTATAGTTAATTAAACTTCGTACTTGAAGTCCCTACATCAGATTCTTAATCTCACGGAATCTTTCTTTAATTTAATTCGATTGCAATTCGCGCAAAAAATTTACGTAACCTTAAAACTTGGTTCTTTTTATTTGATATCCTTACATGATATAAATACGACTTTTGTATTCCGCATTTAGTGGTTAACAGTCAGGATAACGATTTATCATTTCAGGAGCAAAAACGATACAAGGGCCAAGCAAGATCGGACAATCCTCCACATATATTCGCCGTCGCCGACGCGGCTTATCAAGCACTGCTTCATCAACGTCAAAATCAGGCGATTGTTATCAGTGGCGAATCAGGAGCTGGCAAGACGGAGAGCGCGAATCTGCTGCTGAAGCAGCTCGTATATCTCAGCAAGGCGCCGAATCGAAACTTAGAGGAAAGGATACTTCAGATCAATCCCATAATGGAGGCGTTCGGCAACGCTACGACCGGCATCAACGCCAATTCTTCCAGATTCGGCAAGTACTTGGACCTAACAATGACGAAGGCCGGTAAAGTGACTGGCGCGCGAATCTCGGTGTATCTTCTGGAACAGTCGCGAGTGGTCGCCCAAGCCGAGTATGTGTTATCTTTCCAAAGTCGTAATAATAAGAGGCTCGCGGAAATTTATCGGATCTTTGATTATTTTATGAAGCTAAAAAAATTCATTTTACAAATCTAGACAATTAAGATTTAGAAGATGACAGGAAATGGGGGACAACAATGACAGATATTTTGATCGAACATAACATGCAATTAATACAAAATTCAACAATTATAATAAAAGTTTCGACAAATATTAACTATTGACAAAAGAAATAACTAAAAATGACTAAGATAACTAAAAGAAATGAATAAACTCCGACAAACTTTTGCATGCCTCTGTTAACATTTAAAAGTCTCAATCGATTGATAAATCGGCAAGAGTTGTACAATTTTCGTAGGGGCGAGCGGAATTTCCATATCTTCTATTACATGTACGATGGCCTGGAGGCGGACAATCGGCTCTCGGAATTTTTCCTCGACTCTTCGCTTCGGAGGTATCATCGATACCTCACACATCACAGTCACACGTCGCAGACTCACATCGACAAATTTCAGCAGCTTAAGGTGGGCTTCAAGGTGCTCGGGTTTCAGGATAGCGAGGTGGACACTGTGTATCGAGTTTTAGCTGCTATACTGCATCTGGGTGACATCGAATTTGCCGAGGTGGCGACCGAGGACAACACCGACAATAAAAGCCGGGTTATCGATACCGCTCCGTTGCACACAGGTGAACAATTCATTTCTCCATGAATGACTTATCGATACCTATCATTATCGGTTTGTTAACTCTAACAAGTTAAAACTCTTGATACCACCATTTTTTTAATTGAATTTAAAATTTAAAATGAGATTCTTCAAATTTTGCTGAATTTATCAAATTAAAAAAATTTATTTATCCTATTACAATAACCGCTTTTTCTCTTTGTTCTCCTTTGAGACTAAAAAGGAGTAAAAATCATAAAATACCTTTATTAAATAGTCAGAGTTGCTCACAAAAGCAACTCAAAAAGTAGATTGAGACTAATTAATCCTAATTAAGCGCACCAAAGATTAATAGTTATCTCTCAGGTAGCTCTCCAATCTATGAATAAGCTAATCCGCACAAAGACACCGTCATCAATTACGTGTGTTCGTAATTGATGCCTCTTTCCACTTTCAGTTTCGAAACTACTTGGCGTCGAACAGAACGATCTGCTGGAAGCTTTGACGTCAAACTCGGTCATGACCAGAGGCGAAACAATTACACGGAACAATACAGTGGCCGAGGCTTGTACGGCGCGCGACGCCATGGCAAAGGGTCTCTACGGTCGGCTGTTCGATTGGATGGTCAACCAGATCAATTGTTTGCTGTGTTTCAGCCGCTCGCCGAATTACGAGCCGCTGGCGATCGGGTTGCTCGACATCTTCGGCTTCGAGAACTTCCCCAGGAACTCGTTCGAGCAGCTCTGCATCAACATAGCGAATGAGCAGATACAGTACTATTTTAACCAGCATATCTTCACTTGGGAGCAACAGGAGTACATGGCCGAGGGGATACCCGTGGACCTGGTCGAGTTCTCTGACAATCGACCGGTACTCGATATGTTGCTTAGCAAGCCCATGGGACTCCTGGCGCTTCTCGATGAGGAAAGCAGATTCCCCAGAGCGACTAATCGATCTTTGATCGGTGAGCAATCTATATAAGTTATCTCGCAAACGTGTATTTTCTTATTCTACTGTTGCTATGCTTCTCTTCTGGGCGGAAATTACTTAACAAATTATATCCTACGGTGGAAATCTCCGTTCAAAAGATGCTGCATCGCCTATACCAGATCGGATATTGAAGGACTGCAAATATCGAAATTTGACCGATCAGAGAGACTAAAAGAGTTACTAGATCAAGATTAGTTGATTTGGCAAACTCTAATTTGTAATTAACAATTTCTTAACCACGGTTTCCAATACCCATAAAGAGAGAATATTACAGCTTTTTCCATATTAACTCCTTTCAAATTTCATCACGTTCTCTGGTAACGCAAAAATAAATTTCAGTCAAATTCATTAGCTTATAAAAAAGAGGAACGTAATAGATTTTTTAAGAGCATACGTAGCGTACGTAGGTACATGTACGTAGTCGCAGTAAGGTTTAACCTAATATACAAGCATACAGCGGCAGACGTCGCCATCTACCACAGCTCGTTTGCCGTATGGCGCATGATCATTCGCGAGTCTTCTTTGATTAATGACTTAGAATGTTATGTGTTGTTCGCAAAATTGTAGAGGAATTGAAGAGTTTCATCCAGTTTTAAGAATGTTTTAATCTACCTGTATTCCGCGGCTGTTCTGTGATTTATCGGAAAAACACCTTATATATATATATATATATGGTAACCAATTATTTTCTAAAAATAAATTTCCCAACCCTGTTTGTAGTATATAGTACTTCAGTAGTATATGATAGTAGTGATTCTTAAGATATAAACAGTATACATGCAATAAAAGAATAATAATAAAGATAGAAGATGTCGATATATTGCTCAGTTATTCGAATTATATAGTAATTTTTAATGAAAAATTCTCTTCGTACTATCCGAAACAAACTGAAGATACTTTCCCAAATAATTCCCATCGAAAATAATATATAAAATATTTGTATATTTTCAACTATAATTCGTGCTATTTACAGAAAAATTCCACAACAACATTAAATCCAAATTCTACGTACGACCAAAATCAGACGCGGTGTGCTTCGCGATTCATCACTTCGCTGGTCGCGTGGTTTATCAAGCTGAGGGCTTCCTCGAGAAGAACAGGAACTTTCTGCCGCCTGAGGTCATTCAACTGGTGCGACAATCGCAGTACGACATGGTCCGTTTCCTGTTCCAATGCCCGATCACGAAGACCGGTAATCTATATTCAGCGTTGCAAGAGAACGACTCGAGAAAATCGCACTCGAATCAGAATACGAAGGTACTTAACTGTCAAAATTTAATGCAACTCAACATTAATTCAAAGAGCCAATTTGGTGGACTTGCAGCAAACCTAGCCACTTGTATGTGTCTCCCCAATTTCAAGACGAAATGTTGATAACGCGGTAATGTTTCGCAGGAACGATACTCCAGTCGCGGTTTGGCATCGCAATCCAGAGCTCAGCAAACGGTGGCGACGTACTTTCGCTATTCGTTGATGGACCTGCTACAGAAGATGGTATCCGGTTCACCTCAGTTTGTTCGATGCATCAAGCCGAACGATTCGAAAAGCCCACGCTTTTTCGACAAGGAGAAGGTTGTCAAGCAGTTGAGGTACACAGGTGTTCTCGAGACAATACGAATCAGACAGAATGGATTTTCTCATAGGATACCGTTCAACGAATTTCTTAAAAGGTACATCTGAGATAGGTATAATCGCAGCGAAAAATGCGAAGTTATCGAGTTGGTCAAAAAGTTTCATTCGGCTTTCGAGTCAAGTTTAACTTCACTTGATAGAGAGTTTGATGGAGAGAAATTATTCGTCGAACAAATATATAATCGCAATAATTGTCTATGATTTTGCAGTAACATTTTGACAATAATTGTATATCTTTGTCGAAGAAGATGATTAAATTTATCGTTGCAAAAATAAGTGATTTTATTCATTTTACTCATAATATGATTAATATGATTAGTATGATTAATATATCAATTTATTGTTGTCTTCAAAAAGAGCACTTAACTCATTTTCAGTTATATCTATGTCTTTTTATCTCACAACAAAAATTAAAAGTTGAAATTTCAGCTTTCTAAGAAATAAACAAATTTTTCAATTTAAAATGTTTGTGATATAATTATGAATTTTGATGGATTAATCAAATCAGTAAATTGGGAAATAAAAGATCAGTTTGACGTAATGTAAATAGTAAATGCACCTTCAATATGGATGGATGTAGATATTAAATGGAAAATCGAATCGAATTTTTTGATTGATTCAAAGACTTTTGCGCGTTTTATCGATTACATGTGTATAATTATAATTATAATTATAGATATTGTTTCCTCGCTTTCGGCTATGACGAACGCGTGATCGCCAATCGGGAAACCTGCCGGCTGCTTCTGATACGCCTCAAGATGGACGGTTGGGCGTTAGGCAAAACGAAAGTTTTCCTCAAGTACTACCACGTCGAATTTCTCTCGAAGCTTTACGAGGAACAGCTGAAGAAGATCATCATAGTACAAGCGTGCGTCCGTCGGTGGCTCGCAAAGATGAAATTCAAGAAGCAAAAGTGGCAATTCGCTGTGTCGGTAGTCACGTTACAACGTCACATTCGAGGATGGTTGTCGCGAAAGCACACGGAAGAGATGTTGGCTCAGAAACGCGCAGAGGAGGAAAATTCAGCCCTCATTATACGAAGTATATAAACTCAGTTTTCAAATTTAATGATAGAACCTTTTCATTTCTAACATCAAATATGACTTGATAACTATTTAAAAAAATGTAAGAAACAAAAGCTTTGATTTTAGGCGCGATAATTGAATCTACAGGAGGGTAATAATGTTTCACGTTTAAACATAATGTACCAAAGTCTTTCTATGGATCATAATGTTATTATCTACATTACGTCAAACTGATCTTTTATTTCCCAATTTACTGATTTGATTAATCCATCAAAATTCATAATTATATCACAAACATTTTAAATTGAAGGATCTGTTTATTTCTTAGAAAGCTGAAATTTCAACTTTTAATTTTTGTTGTGAGATAAAAAGACATAGATATAACTGAAAATGAGTTAAGTGCTCTTTTTGGAGACAACAATAAAATGATATATTAATCATACTAATCATATTAATCATATTATGAATAAAACGAATAAAATCACTTATTATTAATATAATTAGAGAGCGACACTTATGTAATCTACTAATCATATTAATCGTAAATGATATTGTTCAGTACATGCTAAGCATCTCAATAATGGAACACTTGTCACTAATGTACTAATATCAATATCACCTTTCCTCATATTTACTGATAATTAGCATGATTTAGTGTTACAAAAGATACTGCTTCATACTTCCCTCGATTTGGGAACCGAATTTATTATATTAATTTATTTCGATTTTTTTATAGACGAGATGAAACGTAAAGCGCAAGAAAACACTGACATTAATAGACAGGAGGGGCAGCAACAAGGACGTAAGAATCTAGAGAAGAACGATGCCGCGATTATCATACAAAGTCGTATGTACACCCAATAGTCGCAAGCAGCTGTTTGCAATCGACATTTCTACATTTTACACACGTACAGTTAAATCTTTACAGACTTCCGCGGTTATACTATCCGCAAACGTTTTGGCTACGAACTGGAGGAGCGTTTCAAAAGGATCTTGAATAACTACGACAACATCTACGACGGCCACAAGGCGTTGCTGCGAGAAGGACTGAAACATGAGGACGCGGCTCTTATCGTGCAGAGATGGTACAAGAAAGAAGAGAAAGTAATGAGGAAGAAACCGAAGGCGAAAGACCCAATACATCCCAAACTACGACAAGCAGATTTGATTCAGTTCTCTCAAAATGTAAGTGAACACTACAACTCGATTCTTAACTAAACGACAACCCTTTGAAGCACAGGTCTCATGATAAGATCACCAAGAAAAGTGAAAAATCTTTGAGGTTATAATTCGCCAACATTAATGTTATAGTTTCATAAGTTCTTCCTATACAGGAAAAACAGCAAAGGTTACACAACTTACTTGTAAGTAAGATAAATGCTAGAAACTTAGAAATAAGCAGAATTTACGATGACAAACACAAGTATACATGTAACTAGCACCAAAACCGCGTGTAAACTGAAGCGAATATTACGAGTAACATAAAAATCCGATAGAATGCATCACTATGCACCGGCTGAGTGGTAATTTCGTTGCGAAATTATGTCTGAAGCTATGATTTGGTTCTAATAGGTGATCTCACTATGAAACCACTGTGCTCTAAACGGTTAAAAAAGTAAATATATAAAATATAAAGCGGGCTCTTCTTCTTAAATATCAATAAAAATAAAAAAGATAAATAAAATAGATAAATAAAATTAATAAAATTAATAAAATAAAGCCTATACAGAATATCCTATTTAACACGAGTATTTTAATTACGTGAAAAAACAATAAAAAATTTAAAAAATTAATATCTCCAACTGGTTAGCCTAAATATGCATCTGATACAAAAGTTCCGTAGCTTATACATGCCGAAAATGTGTGTATTAGAAAAATCTAAAAAATTTTGCTGTACCTTTTTAATTAAATTTAGAAGTTTAAAAATATACGAAAAGTTTATAAAAAAGATTTCTACATATATATATTTCTACATATATGATTATGTTTTCCGCTAAATTTAGTAAAATAAACATAGTAACATTTATACTACAAGATCTATAGATCTATATATACAAGAAATATGAAAAGAGTAACGTGAATGTGTCAATGCTTCATATGTGTGGTATATCGCCAAAAAGTGAGAGGTTTTCTGGGATCGATTTTTGGTTCAATTTACTCCATGCCTGATATACTTTCTCTCATCTCTTTTATAACTTCTTATAAGTTGATTCAGCAAATTAATAATAAATTAGTATTAAAATATTAGTATTAAAATATTAGTATTAAAATTAGTATTAAAACACTTTATAAAACTTTCTAAATAATTATAAGTTATAAGACAACAAGCTGTGTAAAAATTGTTATCTTGCTATCTTTAATAATTAAAATTATTAAAATTTAGTAAATAATATAAATAAAATATTAATAAAATTTAATAAAATAATTTAATAAAAGAAATAATTTAATAATGTGTCAAAGGATAGAGTTGTGTGGCTTAGTTGCCAGAACAGTCACTCGGATCAATTCTAGGTTCAGCTTACCTTGCCTGATTTTTTCTCTTCTCTTGCATAATAAAATATATTTTGTCGATAAAGTGTTCAAGTATAACATTCTCTTAAAAAATAAATTAAATTGTAACAATGTATTCGTTTCACAAACTTTATTACAATTAGCTCGACATACGATCTGCTGCAATGATTGAGATAATATCTACAAAAATAAGTTTATTTTAGAGTGACAATTGCTTGCATACATAATTACTTTTCCGAGTGAGCAAATCAGCTTAATTATATAATAAAAGAGAAAAAAATATAACGGCCAAGATAGGAATGGAAGTAGATTCCGGATGACAGCTCTTGCCAACTAAGCTACCCAACTCACAACATATCGTTTTTATCTACTCTCTTTCTCAGCATGTTTGTTTTTCCGTAAACTATTGCACAAATCTCCTCTTACTTCTTATAAGAGGCAATTCTGAAGTGTATTTAAACTTAGAATATTTTAAATCCAATCAAAGGTCTGTTACGAACTATTGTATGAGAGAAAACATGTCAGGAGAAATTAGAGAAAATAAATCACAACACATTGTAAAGCTGGACCGGGAATTGAACCCGGGACCTTTCATTTGCCGGGCCACCATTCTACCAACTGAGCTATTCAGGCCTCGTATTTTGATATATCTTATTTTCTCTCTTATTGAGAGAACGTCATACTTATCAATTTTACCGGCCAAATAATATTGATCTTTTCCTGCAAAGTTTATGTTATATCGGTTGCAAACATAAAATTGCAAACGTTTTTATATAATTAATATACGCACAAAAATAAGATGAGAAATATAATTCGATTTGTGGTAAAAATAATAAATTTCAACACTGATATCTTGAGTAGTCAGCGTGAATGTTTACTTTATACAGAATTCTGTGACTTGTATACATTGGACGTGTGTTTGCTTCGCTCAGGAAAAGTTCGCAAAACATTGCTGTATGTCTTTATAACTGAATCTAGAAGCTTAAAAATATACGAAAAAATATAGAAAGATTTCCATATATACATGGTTATATATAGTATGCATGGAGTATGTTAAGATTAAGTCGGAAATCGAATTCGGAGTTTTTCGCTTGCCGGTTTATCGTCTATTACCTATTATACTGTAAAAAAATTACAGTGCATTACATAAATAATAATTATAAAATTGTATAATTAATAGGTCGAAATTTATAAAAAATTAACAAATTTTCGCTATTTGTTGCGTAATTGTACACTTATTATTTATATAAATTTACATACTTTTTTACAGTGTACCCACATTTTTACAGGCTACCACATTTCGACACATCTTTCTTTCTTCTCTTCAGGGAATGTTACATTTAGAAACTTTATACACAAAATACTATACGTGTTGTGTGTTTTTTTTCTACAAAGTTTACATTGTATTGATTGCACAAATTTACAAATGTTATAATAAAAGCAAAAATTAATTGGAGCTTTGCTCAATATGCGATGAAATCGATACAAAATTTTAAAATTAATATATCCAGTTATCGGTTAGTATAAATTTTTTTGCCTGCAACAATTCCACTGATCGCACGTATCAAACTTGTTCACTTAGGGAAATCAAAAAACATTGCTGTACCTTTACAATTAAATTTAGAAACCTTAAAATATACAGAAAGTTGCAGAAAGATTTCTATACATGCATGGTTATGTTTTCCATTAAATATGTTAAAACTAAGTAGCATACGCTTATATAATATAAAATCTGTGTATAAAAAATATGAAAATTATAATGTGATCGTGTCAGTGGCTGGTATGATATTTTGACAATTACCTTAATGTTATTAACATCTATGGCCTTTTCTTAAATAGTTTCGAGGAAATTTTTATGGAACATGATCTGATATAAATAATTTTGTTTTTCTATAATTGGAGATGTAGGGGAAAAATCGACTAATGATAATAATCTTTGCATACTGATGGGTGCATTAAGGCATCTACAAATGCATATAGAATTTCTTCTCGATTTTATACCGAGCCCTTTATTTTATAAACAAGAGTATTAAGATGAGATTATCGAAAAGTGAATATTTTACGAGACATTTAATATCTTATACAAAGAAGAGTATGTGGATGAAATGTCAAATATCTCGGAAACTATTAACTTTTGAATGATTTCTTGTACATTTTATATGTTAAATAATCAATATCAATTTATATTTTACTAATTTATATCAATTTATATTTAATTATATTAAAACAAGCCCCATAATTTAAAAAATCGGAAGTAACCTTCTTATCTCTACTCCCTCCTGCAAAAAATTATTGGTATCAGTATTATGTTTCCTCTTAAAATGATTTAACCTTTGTCTGAAATATTTTTCGGTATAGAGAATAATTTCGAAAGTTGATCATGTGAATCAATTTAAATGGGAAACTTTGCATTTAAGAGTAAACACACATAGGATATACGTTATGATAATATGTTTTTATTTACAATGATAATTTAGTCAATATATAACAAGCAATATATGCAGACGATCCAAACGTTACGCAATGTTATCTTTATATTTATATGAAAAATCATCACAGCTTACATCCTACATTAGCTTTTACAGGCTTCTTATTCTTATTTTTATTTATCATAAGAAACTTTATTCGAGCTTAACTCTGAATCATGACGGTCGTCGTATAATCCTTTTACCTAGTATTATGCACGGAAACCATATCAATCACCGACCGTCGTGCCGTTGATTCAATTAAGTGATTTTAGTTAAATTCGGTTTGTCGATGAATGTTTATCGTGAGATTATTCTCATTGTCAGGTACACATGAAGAACCAGGATTTGCACAAAAATCTGCGTCGCAACAAGCCTGGCATCAGATTGAGCGATATCGAGGAACCACCGCTCAACTATGTGCGTCCTGAAGGATTCAACATGGTGCAGTCAATATTGCAGTACCGCAGCGGGACGCAACCGGACGAGGAAAACACTGTCAAGTATTACCGGGACCTGAAGGAGGAGATGAGCAGGTAGATATGTATAAGTCAAGCCATTCTCCCTTATCTCAATTTAGAGAGTCGTATACCTGAAACGGAAATTCAAATGCTTAATTTTCGAATGCTTCTGGCACTCACACCGCAAGTGGTTCGGAATTCGAAGACGACGAAGTTGGCTGGGACTTACCGTTGATACGGCTAGAAAATGACCTCCACCCATCGTCGAGGTATATCATGAAATCCGGCCTGTTCTGTACCTGAACGCTAGTTTGCATGACGCTGATATCGATGCTCATTTACTCGTCGCTGTAAAAGCCTGAGCGAAGTCTGAAGTCTGTCTTACCAGGAAATTTATCGAAGCGTTACTTGTCGACCTTGATAGCCTTCGAATACGTTGTAAAGAAACCGGAAGTAAGAGATATATATTTTCATGTGTGCCTTCTCGCACGTTTAGGGACCGAAATAATCCGTCGAGGAAATTCGGTAAAATTAATTGTAAGAGAATATTCTTAAAACAGTGAAGTACATGAAAAAATGTTTTAAATAAAAAATAGTTTTATGGTATTTCATGATAATTTTAATGATTTACATTTATATATTTAGATTTACATATTTATATAATAAAATTACATTAAATGTTTTTTAACATATATTTCTTATTTTTACTAGAATAATACATGCACGCACTATGCGCGCGCCATATAGCTAATAAAAAACAATAAAAAATGTAAAATAAAAATAAAATTAAAATTAAATTAAAATATAGTTTAATTAATTAATAATTTTAGGGAGAGACAGGGAGAGACAGGGAAAGACGGGGAGAGACAGGGAGAGACGGGGAGAGACAGGCAGAAACAGGAGAGGCAGGGAGAGATAGGGAGAGACAGGGACAGACAGGGAAAAACAGGGAGAGACAGGGAGAGACAGGAGAAGCAGGGAGAGACAAAGAAAAACAGGGAGAGACAGGCAGGCTTTAACTTTCCGTTACTCGTGCGCACTTGTAAGATGCATTCCAAATTTCTTTAATGCAACATAGAATAGAAGAGGGAGACACGCATTATATTTTTTACTTTCCTATATTCTTTACTTTCCTAAAACAGTACATACTTGTCTTGCAACATCAACATCAAAGCTGTAGGAAGTAAAAAATACAAGGTGCACTGTGACAATTAATATATTTCCAATATTGCTGTCTAGCTTTTTTACAGTGAACCTTTTGTTTTTTACTTGAAAAAGCTAATGATTTTTATTTATTTTTATTGTTTTTTTAAATTAATTTAAAAAAATTACGACGTGACTTTTAGGGAATATGATACACACATTATATATATATATATATAATTTTTTTTTTTTTTTTTTAACATTGTATGTTTTACATATTTTGCACGTAAATAATAAAATGTTTAATTAAATTTATTTTATTTTAATGTTTCCACAAATTCTAAAAGTAGTAAACAGGATAATTGTATTCAAAATGTAGATTTTCTATAAAATAAATAGAGCATCAGCTCTCAGGTGATCTGCGACTATTCTTGTTCCAAAAAGTATGCGAATAACGGAAGGTTACATGAATGGAAGGTTAAACCAAAGCACATACAAACAGAAAATATGTGTCTCTTATTTTCATCTGCTGTAAAACACATTTAAAGGCTATCAAAATCGATGAATGACATTTCCCATATATTTCCTTGTTTGATTGCATATTATAGTTTCATATCAGCTTCACCAATGACATGTTCAAGTTCTAAGCAGAAAAAAAATACGATTTTATGCGAACACTTTGACAAATTTATCAGTTGACCCCTTCTTTAATTTTATGTACGTCATGTAGATAATTATTCGTAAAAATAGTCCTTTAGTCGTCGAACACTGTTTCGTCGATGTCGCACGAAAATTTCACTCAAGTCGATGTAACAACAAGATCATCCTCGTTATAGGAATCGGAGTGGTCAGATTCTGGAAATGAGTGCCGAGAGAAGGGATCGTGCGGCTCAGGGCGATTTTGCGGTGGCGCCAGAGAAACATCTGTCAGATATATGGCACAAAGCTCTGAGACATCCGTCCGATCTGCGCGAAAACGAGAGCTCCAAGAAGAATGTAAGGTAAGAAATGTGCCGTATAAGACAAGCACACAAAGTATTACGCATCGTTGTTATCTCAACGATCAATCAATTATTCAGCGAGCTCTGTCTGAGTCCCGTTTCAATGAACATCCAGCGACTAATTGTGCATTTGTATCATTTCATATGTTACTAGAGGAATCATGGTAAATTTCCAGGTAAAGTCAAATTTATACTGTCGCCACGAATATATCTTGTAGTGGCTTTGTAGTTCGTGAATTATTATTAACATATTGTAGATCGGATATATAATTCAAACTTGATATTTAATTCAAACATATTTAAAACTATAACTTAAAACCTACATTCAATGGGATGCCAAAGAATATTACGAACTCCAATTAAGAACTCGTTACACGGATAAACGGAAGCGTAAGTGAAGGGAAAAACGCCAATACATCCGGGCTCGATTTCCCAGCACTGCCTCCGACCAGCATCATACAAATAACACTTACTTCATGACTTTCCGCACAATGTTACATGACAAAGCGTCTCTCTCTCTCTCTCTCTCTCTCTCTCTCTCTCTCTCTCTCTCTCTCTCTCTCTCTCTTGCGATAAAAATTCAATTTAACAAGGGATATAAGAAAGTGTCCTTATATTCTTCCATGACTAAATTCTATTTTTTCTGGGTATCACCTCTCGCTCGCAATATTTTAGAATATCATCGAAGGCGAAATTTTGGGAGGATCCGACGTATCGACTGAGGAAATTCTTTCCTGGAGAAGAAGACGAGGAAAAAAAGATTATCAGCAGTCTTTTAAGAGAAGCTTCGGCTTCTCCGAATCCATTAGATTCGTCGGAGGTTTACTCTGAACAAAGTCTTCGGCTTCTTCAAGTCTATAAAGGGCCATTTACAATGGGATTGGCAGTAGACAGTAAAACGCAAGCAGTAAACGAGTTGACCAACCACAGTCGATTATTATAAGAATAATCGACTATGATTGGCCAATTTGTTTACTACTTACGTCTTACTGCCAATCTCATTGTAGATGAGCCTTTAGACTCATCGGAGATTTACTTCGAGCAGATTTACTCCTTCGGCTTTTGTCTCTCTTATTGGATGAAGTTTCGACTTCTTTTCCGAATCTATCAAACTCGCCGGGGATTTACTTCAGGCGAAGCCTTCGGCTTCTCTCGCTCTTGGATGAAGCTCGGCTTCTTTTCTGAGTCTATCGAACTCGCCGGAGATTTATTCCGGGTGAAGCTTACGGCTTCTCTTTCTTTTGGGTCAAGCTTCGGCTTCTTCTCCGAGTCTATCAGACTCGGAGATCTATTCCGGCTTTTTCCTTTTCGTTCTGTTTCTCTCATCTAGATTTCCAGGATTTATATCTATTCACCACGGAGAAAACTTAGCCAATCGAACCCCAACGGCCATTTTATGTACTCTGACTACCAATTCGTTATACATTTAACCGATCCTCTGTGGTGTGTGATTTTAGTGAAGATTCAACTTTGCATCCTGAGTTTGCTGCGAAATATTGCCTTAACATTGTCAAGTCCTGACCTTCGCCGATATCTTATTATAAAGAGTTCGATAACTTTGAAATGACCCAATTTTGAAGGACTATTTCAATTTAAAAGGCTGATCCAATCTTAAAGAAACATTTCAATTTCAAAGAACATTACTGTATCTTTATAATTAAATTTAGATGCTTAAGAATATACGATAAGTATGCAGAAAGATTTATATATATGCGTGATTATACTACCCGCTAAATATGATAAAACAAAGCAACACACGCTTATATAAGACCTATATGCATAAGAAATATGAAAACAGTAACGTGATTGTGTTAGTACTTATCTGATATGTCGTTTTAATGATCGCCTTTATGTTATCAATATTTTTGGAGTTCTCGTCATCCACTTTGACATATCTTTAATAAATATACGATTAATATGAATTTGGAATTAATCAATAAATTTCTTTTGATATAATATTCATTAAAACATTATCCTTCATGAAGAGGTAAAAACAGAATTTACAAATGTACCGCCTACTAAAAGAATAAATCAATGTTTCTAGTCTTCAGCGTTTCAAAAATTTAAAACGACAATTCAAATTTCCGGTCTACAATATGTTAACAGACGTTAACATATTGTAATAAACATCCGGTAGCTGAGGAAATAATTCGCATGATCAAAATCGTAACTTATTTTTTTCCAGTACAACGATTAATGACCTGCATAGCGGCAATAACGTGCAATCGCAAGCAGGCAAGCAACGTAAAACCGATTCTCCGCATATCCACGATTCAACTGGCCTACGATTCGTAATCGACGATCGATATAACCACGGGAGCGAACGACAGAGCACTTTCAATGGACATAATCTCGTTAACGGACACCATAATCCCATCAACGAATATCACATGCCGGTCAATGGCTACAACATCCGTCAGACACCCCACAAGACAAACAACCGCATTGTTAAGAGTCAAGTGAATATTTCGAGCACCGTACACACCGAATTAACCAACGGCTCGATAACCACTAACAACGGTTCCGAGAAGACATCCGGTCGGTCGAGTCCTAAGCCAAACGGTTATCTGATAAAGAACCATCAAAACAATGTATATCACAAGAACGGTATCAACCGGTTGAGCGACGCAAATGACAAGCCTGCGGAACACAAGCAGTTGCAGAAAGAAGACACGTTCAATATCGCGGCTAACCTGCGGCAGCTGCTGAGACCCACCGTGATCGAGAAGCGACAAGAGATCAGCAAGGTCGAGTACGACGCAGAGGACATTAATGGACCGTACAATTTCAGGCAATTGCTGAGACCGACCGGATATCTGCCGACTGAATCATTAAGGAAGAGAAAAGGGGAATTAGTTTCCAACAGAGTCCCACTGCCGAAGGATAAAGTTCCGGAGAAGCATGTGAAGAGAAGAGCGCCGTTGGCGCCAACCCAAAACAAAATGGTCAACGGGAAAAAGTGAGGTCACTTTGTGTTACTTAACGTTTTAGTTTCAAGTATTCTTCTGTTTCAAGAGGATATCACCGAGTTTGATTCAGTGTTTGATAGACAATCCGACGTAGCCGCATTATAAAGTACCGAAGATCGACTAATTGATTAGTAAATTAGTTAATTTATAATGATGAGAAGAAAAGACCGTATATATTGTCGAGTTACATTTACTTTATATTATTTATTATATCGTTCCCTTGTTGAGAATCTATGAAACTTAGCGACTGTCTAGAACTAGTCACGTCTAGCTTTACTTAAATTAAACGTTTATCATCGATGTAAGTAACAAATAAATTATGCTCGTTAATTATTTGTACGATTACTCGTCAAAATACTGACGGAAATCTGAAAGTTTGTTCAAAGTAAAGCACCACATGTTGTGATAATTGCTCAATTCTCCAGAAGCTTCTAATTCCTAAACTATCCTCCACTTCACTTCTTCCGCCACGATGAATATAAGTCTTATCAAGGACTACTTTCTTCGACTTTGAATTGATCCATCATCTTTTATTTTTTCTTTTTCTTTGATATATTAAACCTAAACTACATATATATATATATATATATATATATATATATATATATATATATATATATAT